TAAAGCTGATAGGGCTGGATTCGGGCGTGGTCGCGACAATCACCGACCCTTTGTAGCCGCTCTGGTACGAGAAATGTTCAATGGCCCATGGAAGGAGAGGCTGATAAATAGTGAGGGAATGCTGTATGCGGATACCATCGGCACGCCCGATACTACCTCAGCTAGTGCGAGCATTAACAGTTGTGCTGAGGCAACCAGCTGTGTTGCTAGTGAGTGCGTGGCCAGAAAATCATGGATAGTACTCAAAGGACGGAGTCGAGCGAAGCGTGAAAGTACCGTGTGTCGCTTTGAAGGAAGGGCGCCGACACAAAAAAACAGATTATTGCCAGATGCACAAAGTTGCTTTGTGCAAGCGCATTTGCCCGGTAGATGAAACAAAGCCCCATCTCAGTCAAGAATCGATTTGGTCATGCTGGCAGAAGTACCATTCGTACTACCTTCCTAAACATGTTTACAATCCGGAAGCTGCGCCAAGTAGAAATAGAGAAACCTGAGTGTGACTGTGATGTGGTGTTACATCGGCATCCTTGAAATACATTCTGTGTTTTGATCACTTTATATGCGCCTGCATATTCGCGTGTTTTCCCTTGGAGGAGCAATGGCTAGAGAGGATATGTCTTTAGTTTGTCTTTCTCGCCAGAATACTGCTGCTCTAAGCGTAAACTATTCATAGTATGATGGAGATTCATTGAATTGTCGACAAAGCGGTATCGCTAGATTACTACACACGCATACCCAAATATAACAGATTGTTGATCATTGTTGTAGAGATCCAAATGCGTTGACAAGTAAGGCTGTCGTCACTAGCCAACAGTGCTGGAACCTGTCTAGACTACTGGATCAGTTGATGAAGCAGCTGGGACATCCTGATTTGTTCTCTTCCGGACCTTGAGAAATGGTGCTTGGGCCTTGTAAATTGGCGAGCTACGCATCAAGCGACCGTGTTGATCTGTGTTTGCTAGGCGGTAAGTTGCTCGTTCACTGGAGGGCCCGTTCCAGGTGATTAAATCTCTCCAATATTCGTTCCTCATTCGATACCTACTTAAAGAGGTTGAGCATGATGTCCACGGGTCGCGAATGAATTTGTACAGTATGGCGACCTCAACATGACCTCAGATATTAGCAAGCACGCCTCTCTTCCAGGTATTGCCATCCAACTTCGTAACATCATCGGACACCGTGTTAGTCCGGCATCGGGCAAGCTGGAGGACGTCGAGGCATGGCGTGGGCCTATGATATCGAGAATTCTGGGAGCTGCTTCGTGGAAAAGTAAGTGAAGGTATCGATTTCTCCGACGACAACGCGCGAGCAGTGCTTGCTGTTGGAATTCCGTTCCCAAATTTCAAGGATCTCAAAATTTCGTTAAAGCGTGAGTACCAGGACAACAAGTCACGTGATGATCAGAAATTGGTGAACGGTTCTTGGTGTCAGCACCAGCCACCGTCTTGAGGACGACACTGCGAGATCAAGCCGCGTCAACCGCGGCACCGCATAATCGAAGGCAGGGGTGGCCGTGACAACTCCACAGGAGCGCAGTTTGCCAGCGAGAATACCTTTGTGTGGTTCAGATTTGCTTGAGCCACAGGCAGCAGATGCACCCAGTTGCGCGTATCACTCTCTCTCTCTCTCTCTCTCTCTCTCTCTCTCTAATAGCACAACTTGTAGTACTGTAGGATATCTCGATTCAACCGCTCGACAGTGTCATTAAAAACAATCCAGGGACTGTTTACAGGGACGAAGATGTGGCGTACACCTAGTCACCCGACCAAAAACGTACCATCACTCGGCTCTTGACGTGAGAGCCACTGTCCGAAACCAACGCGTGGGGGGTACCAAAGCACTTATTCCAGTCAAAGATAGCCGTCACTGTCGTTTTGCTGTCCGCCGATGCAGTAACCACCAACTCACTACAATGTGTTAATTCATCCTTCAAGACGAGGGCATACTTGGCTGCATCGTAGCTCTCACCAAGATGTAAGTAGGCCATGTGGGAAAATGATTTCACTTTGCCAACAGTCCATTTACGCTGGATCACGAGGCCATCTTAGCATCCTTGCCCAATATACAAGCGTTCAGAAATCGCGTAGCGGCCAAGGGCAGTGTGTTCATCGAGAATCGTCGCTCTGAGAACTCTACCATCACATTCACATC